TTGATTTTTGGTCAAAATCGGATATAGTGCCTTATACTTTTAGCCTTATTCTTAACTTTATTACTCAATATCTCAAAAACTATGCATCGTAGAGTATTCTAACTAGTTGKATCGTGTTCAGCGAGTAATTTTACGTCTAGAAAACCATATTTCAACCGTTTTTACGACTTAAGCTAAATTGATTATTTTTACGATTTTATTACCGCTCACCACAAAAAAATTATGAAATATATGAATCTTGCCAAATTAAAATTACATGGCCCACCTGACGTAAAAAATCATAGTTTTTACCTTTACTTCAATCTGTATTATTTATTGTTCCCAACTTAATTTCAAAATTATAGGTCACTTTGATAAGAAAGTGGTTGGTAGAAATGAGCATGAAAAATTATTACGGTTAAAAAAATCCAGAAAATTGTTTGAAAAAAGTTACAAAAAATGTACTTATAAATAAGAAAATTAAAAATACAGAATTTGAGCTATACTTACTGAAATCTGTTCCGAGTATAAGAAACATAAAAATCTTGTGTGTTTTTTTTACATTTATTTAGACGACACATTTGAATTTAATGTTAATGTAATATTTAATGTAATATTCCCACATTATTTTTTGTTGCCAACTTAATTTCAAGGAAAACGATCTTAAAATAAAATATCACTTTTCAACTTTGAATTTTGTTAGAAAACAATTACTACAAAGTTCATATTGAAATGTTTTGAGCTATAGTGTAAAATGTTCCAGGACGTAAATTGATTTTGTTTTTTCAGATTTACCTGGACGGCAGCGACGAGGTGAAGGCCGACAACGACACCGCATTCAAATATTTTAAAAAAGCCTCCGATTTAAACAATCCGGTGGGTTTAAGCGGTCTCGGTTTGATGTACCTTTACGGTCGCGGCGTCGAAAAAGACTACACAAAAGCCTACAAATATTTTCTCGCCGCCGCTGATCAAGGCTGGGTCGACGGCCAACTCCAACTCGGCAACATGTATTTCAGCGGTTTGGGTGTGCGAAAAGACTACAAACTCGCAAATAAATACTTTTCATTGGCCTCACAATCGGGCCACGTCCTCGCCTACTACAATCTAGGCCAAATGCACGCTCAAGGCACCGGAATGTTACGATCGTGTCCGACTGCAGTCGAACTATTCAAAAATGTCGCCGAAAGGGGGCGCTGGGGCGAGATATTGATGCAAGTAAAATATTTTAAACCCAAAATCGAATGCATTTTGAATGAAATAAACAATTTTAGGCACATTCGGATTACACTGAGGGGCGATTTAACGAGGCTTTTGTCCAATATGCCCTTTTGGCCGAATTGGGGTACGAAGTGGCCCAAAGTAATGCTGCGTTTTTACTCGACCGAAACGAAGTGCCCATGTTTACGATTCAGGAGTCGTTAGCGAGGGCTTTGTTGTATTGGGGGCGCGCTGCGGCTCAGGGGTACTCAGCAGCGCAAGTGAAACTCGGGGATTACCATTATTACGGTTTGGGGACTCCCGTGGATTATGAGACTGCGGCTAGTCATTATCGATTGGCCTCGGAGCAGCAACACAACGCTCAAGCCATGTTTAATTTGGGGTACATGCACGAACAGGGCTTAGGAATGGCCAAGGATGTGCATTTAGCGAAAAGGTGCTACGACTTAGCTGCAGAGACAAGCACCGATGCTAAGGTTCCTGTGGCTTTAGCCCTCTTCAAATTGAATTTAATGTTCAGTTTGGATAGTTTACGAGAGGTGAGTGGGGGTGTAAGGGGGCTGTGTTAGTGAGTTGTTTGTTACAGAGCCATCTATCGAGTCTTTTGGATTTTAATGAGATGTTTGGGGCGAATTGGGATTTGTATTTGATTACGACGCTCACGGCGATTCTTGCAGCGATTGTTTACTTCCGGAGACCGCAAGCCCCCGCTGTTGTACACATTTTTATATAAATTGTACGGTTTTAGTTGTGAAATAAATGTTACTAAAATTTGACGTTTCAATGACACGTGCCTACTTTGCATTTGAGTAGATAAAATTGACGTTTCAATGACACGTGCCTACTTTGCATTTTAAAAAAACTATTTATTTTTAAGACTTTTTTCATGAATATTAATTAAAGAGATAATTGTGAGACGTGGGGCGTCTTTGTGTTGTGGTTGCTTTCTTTCCCCTCCGCCCCCACTTCCTGTCAACTTTCTCCAACAAGTGTGATGTGGGTCAATGTTGTCATCCAGTGAAAGCCAGAAAATTAACGAAAATGACTACAAACAGGTGACAATTAAAATACGTTTGAGACAGTTTCGCTAAAAATCCAAAAGCATGTTTGCGAGGTTCACGTTTTACCCCACTTTGTTCTATAATGTGGTTATGGAGAAAATCTCGTCGCGGAGGTGGTTTGACAGGATCGACGACAATGTTATTTTGGGGGCTTTGCCGTTTCCGAGTCTCACGAGACGGGTAAGGTGGCTTTTTCATTCATTTTTGGCGATTTTTCGTCGTGGAAAGAATGACATTTGCTGGGGTTGTTTACCTGGGAAGTGGGCTTCCGGACGAAGGGCCTTGACCGAGAACTTCACTGGCGGACACTGACCTGGCGCAAAACTGGAAGAATCTGCCCCCGAGCCCCAATTTTTGACGTGTCGCTGCCAACCAAACAAAGCGAAATCAAAAATGGGCCAAAAACGGACAAAATATGATTAATAAATCGAAATTAAGTGTTCTAAGATAAAACATGCAATGGAATGATCATCTACGGTTGATTTGACCGGTTTTTGGGGCAAATTTTTTTTTTAATTTTTGTTGGGTTGGTCACACATTTCGATTTTGGAATAGTCTAAAAATATTAAAATAATGCTAAAACCGGCTTGCGAAAGCTTTAACCGACAAATTCGCTCCCTTTGTGTTAATAATTAAGTACAGAACGTGAAGAATCTGCCCCTTAAGCCCCAATTTTTAACGCTCCGTTGCCAACCCTACAAAACGAAATTCAAAAATTGCAATTATTTACAATAAACGTACAAAAATATGATAAACAAATGCAAATAAGCGTGTTATTAGTAAATCATGCAAGAAAATTACCATTTATAGTTGGTTTATACAATGTTTGAGCGAGTTTTTTTCTTAATTTTTGTTGGGTTGGCAACGGATTTAAATCTTGTATTAGTGAAAAATCCTAAAAGTATTAATATTTGTTGATAAAATGACGTGACCGAGAAATCTACCCTGTTTGTGGGCACTAAATCAGACCAAAACTTGTGAAATCGGCTCCCAAACCTCAAATTTTGACGTAGTGTAGCCAACCCAACAAAACTAAAAAATTAGGCAAAATTTTCAATTATTGATACCAAATGAATAAAAATATCATTAAGAGATTAAAATGAAACGTGTTATTATCAAATTGATCAGTTTTGGCATCTTTTGGGCGAATTTTCTTTTATTTTTTGTTGGGTTGGCACACATGAATTTTGTAATAGAAAATACCGCAAATTTGCTCGATTTTCCAGCTTCTGGAAGAGGAAAACGTGAAAGGAGTCATTTCCATGAACGAGGATTACGAACTGTTCCTCGCCAACAACGGCAAGGTTTGCGCCCCCTTGTCCCCAATTTCGCCCCAATTATTCGTAAAAATTTGCAGAGATGGAACGCCTACGGTGTTGAGTTTCTCCAATTGGCCACAACTGATATATTCGCAACTCCATGTCAACAAAAATTAAACGATGGTGTTAGTTTCATCTACAGGGTGGTCAATAAAGAGCCAGAATTGGGTGAACCCAAAAAACCCACAGTTTATGTCCACTGTAAGGCGGGTAGGACCCGTAGTGCGACCCTAGTCGGTTGTTACCTCATTAAGGTAAATCTGGTTTTGATTTGGTCAAAAAAATACAATTTTTTCATTGGTAGAGATACAATTGGACCCCTGAACAGGCTGTAAGACACATGCAAGACAAGCGTTCACATATCTTACTTCACACCAAACAGTGGGAAGCTTTGAGAGTCTTCTACGAGGACAACATTCCAAAAACGTAGACAATAATCGTAATTTTTAGGTAATTTATTGACAATAATTCATAAATTAAAACTTCTTGTAATTTACAAAGGTTTGAGGCGGTAATATAGACTCAAAAGTGAGTAAATTTACTCTTTAATCGCCCAGAATTTCCTGATTGTTTTCCCAATCCCAATATCATTGATGTTGTAATAAATAAGGCCCCCCAAAGTCGTGGCTGAGATTAAGTAAAGCAGGCCTAAAGCCAGTTTAGGTAGAATATTTCCCACCACGATGGGCCTCGCGTAGTCCACCACAACGGCCTCCAAGCCCCTACAACCCCCAATTATCACAAATTCACCCCAAAAGACAATTACCAGTGAAAATGAATCACAGACGCCACTGCGAGCAAATTATCAAACACTATATTGGGCATTGCGATTGCAGCAGGCACGAGGGCTATCATACTCAACGAGAGGGCCTTCTCCATAGGCCACAACTTGCTGTGGTCTGCTGACATAAATCTCACTTGTGAGACTTTCTGGGGGGCTAGAAGTAAATGACGCGACTTGCTCAATGTTGACTGTTGTTTGTGTGAGGGGGCCAGCACAATCGAGGCGCTTTTGATCAAGTTCTGTTGCAAGGCCCCAACTGAAAAGTGAAGGTTATGTAATGCAAAATTGGGAGTTTTAATGCGGAAAAACACTAAAACATACCTTGAATTCTCGGGGCGTTGCGTAATATTAAAGCTAAAGCCATTTTAAACCGCTTTTTCACTATTTAAATAAGATTTTCTCGGTTTTACTTTTCACCAAACGTCAAACACTCGACAGTTGTGCCAACCTAAGGATTCCAACACATATTTAAAAAAAAAAACAGCGATTTTGTGGATTATTCCATGCGTAATTGGTGTTTTGACTATTTACAACGTTAAGTGTGTGACGTTTGTTATCTCTAATTACGTAATTGAATTAATTAAGTCGATTAAAATAATTTTAAAATTGTGGAAATGTCATTTCAATGGCGGGGAATTTAAAATAAAACGTTTCACACAACTATAAAATTTATTAATTTTGGGATTTTGTACAATTATAGTAAGTCTGCGTCTAGCATAATCTTGCCTAAAGCCCCACTCCTGAAGGCTTGTAACATGATTTTGGCCCCATGGTCCAAATCCGGCCTGTATATATAATTATTACTATTGTCTCTCAACTTCAACATTTTCCTGTGTTTTATGCTAATTTGTGTTAAGACTTCCAAAATATCATCGGTGGCTTTTTCAAGTCCGAAAAAGGTGACATAATTGTAGTGTCCGTTTTTATTTAACCAGAAAAGCAAGTAATCAGCTATGACAGTTTCCCCAATTAAGTGGTCTTGAATGGTGGCACACAAAGCCAGCTTGAGCCCCACTTCCGTACTCTCAATTTTCGGTGTTAAAATCCCCGGCGTGTCCAACATGTAGCACAGCGGATCCTCACTCATTTTAATCCTCGTTAAAACGCTTCGGGTAATTCCCGGGGCTGCCCCGACCGGTGAGGCGCCCCCCTTGTGCAAATTGCGCACTCTTAGGGCGTTTATCAGCGACGACTTGCCCACATTTGGGACCCCAATTATCATCACACACTGGTCCTCGGCCTCGCTCCTGTTGAACCTATCAGAGCTTTTTATGAGATTTTGGGCCAGAGGGAAGACTTTTCTCACTCCTTTACAGTGCTGGTCCTTGCAATTTGTGAAAATGACGTGTTCAAACTCGTTTTTTACACGATTTGTTATCGAAGGGATCAATTTTTTATCGATCAAATCTACTTTGTTTAGGACTAGAATGTGGGGCTTGACACCACTGATTGTGTATTTGAAGTCGGTGTTGCGCCCCGAAATGGGGATCCTCGCGTCGTGGACCTCAATAATACAGTCGATTGAGCGAAGTTTGTGTTGCATTTGTTTGAGACCGCGCCCCATGTGTCCCGGAAACCAACGCAAGACGTCCTTGTCGATCGACTTGAAGACGCTCCTGAACATGTCAGGGGACACTTTCTGGGCCATTTTAACGATTTTAAGCCACTTTGGAAACTAAACATAACCTCACTTTTGTACTTTTGAGGTTATATGTTTTTTTTGATTAAATTGTTGAAATGATGAGAAATAATTACTGGATAATGTGATTTTGAGTTGATTTTATTTAGTTAAGTGGATACGGGTCGGGAGATTGAAGGAATATGGTGGTTTTAGTGCAAAATTTGTGTAAAATTTGAAATTGGCGCGTGAGATTTTGGGGAGTTTGCGTTTGTTGTGTTGGCGCGTGTTTGTCCAACGCCATCATAAGTCGTCCATTTTGTTGGTTTGTTTTGTGCAACGCCGGTTTTGTTTGAAATCCATCGAATTTCGTCGAAAATGGTAAGTTTCGCCCATGCAAAACCCATCAACTAACCCACGGGTACCCAGAGCCGCCGCTCAGAAACCACAACGAAAGTTTTCGTGGGCAGTCTGCCCAACGGAGTAACCACCGACGACTTGCGTGCCCTTTTCGCCCCCTATGGGGCAATCGCCGAATGCGACATCGCAAATCGGTGCGGTTTCCTCCACCTCGAAGACCACGACTTGGCCATGAAAGCGATTGCGGAACTCAACGGTACCAATTTCATGGGTGGGCGTATTTCCGTTGAGAAGGGGCGGGTGAAACCCCGACGGGGTCCCGGGGGCGGCGGACCGATGCGCGGGGGCAAAGACCGAGGCGGGCCTTATGCACGGGGCGATTTCCGCGGGCCGCCGCACAGAAACGGGGGGTTTGGTGGTGGGCGGGATTATCCGCCTTACGGGGGCGGGGACAGATTTGGGGGGTATGATCGGCCGCCACAGCGGGGCGGGTATGATGGGGGGTACGGTGACAGGAGACCGCCGTATGATGATCGTCGGGGGGCTGGGTTTGGGGCCGAGAGGAGACCCTTCAGTAATGACTTTGGTACGTTTTTATATTTCGTTTTGGGTTTTTTTTTGTAATTGATGGGTAGATCGACGTCCGTATGGGGACGCCCGTCCTGGGGGCTTCCCAGAGGTTCCACGAGTCGATTATGACGATAGACGCCCCCCAGCTGGGGAATTCGACGATCGAAGGCCGTTGTTGAATGACAGGAGGCCACTTTTGGACCAGCAAGGGCCACCACCGCCAAGGGGGCCCGCGGGTTTTGATAGAGGCGCCCCCGTTCCAGAGTTGTACAGTCGAAGGGACCAAGTACCTAAACCAATGTAATTATTGTCATTTTGGTTGAAACATTTGTGATTGGTTGTGATGTAGGGGCGGGGCTGGGGGTTTCCCCGATCGTGGCGGTTACGGAACGGCGTCGGCCAATGGTTATACAGCCGGGTACGGTAGTCCAGCGGCTCCGCCTACTGGCGGTTACGGAACACCGGCTCCTCCAACCGCAGGCTATGGTACCGGGGCGGGGACTTTCGGTAGTCCCGCCCCTCAAGGCGGATACAACGATGCTAGAGGTTACGGAACGGCAGCTGCGTATGGGACACCGGGCGGTTACGGTGACACCTACGGGGCGGGTGCTGGAGGGCGTGGCTCATACGATGCCGCCTATCCGCCACTACCCCAACAAAGAGGAGGGTAAGTGTGGGAATGTAGGGTGGTTTTGGTCCCCACGAAGCGATGCCTCTTTGGGAACTTTTTTCAAAACAATTTCAAGTAATAAAGAGGTATTGTTTCAGGAAGTTTTGGTCCAAGATTTGAGTTTTGCCTAATTTGAAGATAAAATATATAATATAATAGATTTTTTACTATAAAATATTGTACAAAATATATTTGATGGTGTTTTCACTCTATATAAGGTAATGTAAGTGATTTACCCAAGTTTCTTTCTTTTATTTACAGTTATTTTTAAGCTGGCGTTGCGTTTGGAGCGACTTCTGAGTGCGGTGCGTCTTTTAAAAACTGAAACGAAACGATAGACTCACTAGATTTAGTCATAATTTTTTTCTTTAGTTTCTGGAACAGTGCGGAATTTGGCCAAATTTGGGTAAATTTTTCGGTGCGTTAGGAGTGTGACTGGTGCGCCTTATATAGATTGGAAATGGAGCATTCGTCTACCTGATTTTGCAAAATAGATTAGTGTTTATTTCTTGTTAAATTAGATTAGTTTCAAGTCCGGTTGGGTAGACCGTCGATTGTGTTATTAAAGCCATGAGTGTGAAAGGAGAAAAAACGCAATTTGGGCGCTCTATATTCTTATAATTGCGGCAGCGGAAGGTTTACAACACGAACGACAAAGCGGTAGAGTGACACGATTAAGAAATCTGCGTATTTTCTCTATTTTTCGACACAATTCTAGATTAACCAAATTTGCGTTTACACCTAGATTTTAATCATACGAATTCCTTTTTGTGTATTATGTATAGTTGGCATGAAATAAGTATAATAAAAAATGTTTTTTTTTCTTTTATTAAATCGGTTATTTATCAAACCTTTCGCAAATACGGCGGAGATTTTCCAAAAATTGCGCTTTCGTTTCTAACCTGAGGAAATTTCGCACGCAAAACTCGCCCCCTGCGGACACAAGCGAAGACCCCAGCCAAGGTCCATTAGCGCTTTACAGGTGAGGTATTTGTATTGCGTACAAAACGGAAAAGACACTTCGCTAAATTAGAAAAACAACATTGAAGAAACTGAATTTAATTTGTTTGTTTCGCAGGTGATCCAAATGGGGGTGAGGATCAACCAATCGGTGAGTGTTACTCGAATTTGTCGCGCGCCTCTTCCATAAGTTCGGCCATTTGGGCGTTTTCCTCTTCTGTCCCCGCCCACTCCTCCTCCTCCGCCTGAGCCAACATTTGCTCCTCTTCGATGCGTTTTAACTCGTTTTCGTAGGCGATTTGCTCGGCGCGGAGGACCATTTCGATGACGGCGTTTCTCGCCTCTTCCTCGACGAATTTTTTCTAAAAAAATTTAACGAGAAATAAATAACTCGGGAGTAATTAATTACCCATTTTTCCTGTGCCAGTCGTTTTCTCTCAAGAGTCAATTCCTCAATTTCCCGTTTTTGCACCTCCTCCAATTCCTGGTTGTACCGATATTTGAATAAATAGTGTCCCAAGTAGTGTATGGGGTCACGTGGCATTTTCGCGGTTATTTCGGCTAAAGCCAGAGTTAGGGGTTTCCCCACGTTTTGTTTTAAATACTTGACGTCTTGTGACGACATTTTACTTTCAACAGTGCTACACTCTGAAATTTTTTTGTAATTTTTCTTATACAGGCTGTTCCGTTTTTATTGTTACAAATCTGGACAGGTAAAAGAATATTCAATTTTAAGACAAAAGTTTCCTATAAACGTATATCAAAAAATGTTTTGTAAAGGAGCTACACCCTCTGAAAGGGGTGCGTTTTTAATGGAGTTGCATCTTTTTTTGTGAAAAACTATGGAATTTAAAATTTTGTTGCTGAAAGTAGCAAGAAACTTCAGCCAAAATAGTTAGTTTTTTTTTATCGTAACCCCCATTTTCGACTTAATTTACTAATTTTTTGGTTCATTTGGGTAAAATTTTACATGAAGAAGGCAAAAATAATTTTGTTTTCGACCCCTAATTTGGAAATTTTAGCAAAATTTTGCAAAAAAATCAGTTTTTGGTTCAAAAACGTTTTTATTTGTTTAAAAATACTTAGACGGAAATAATACAATTTTGTGCCTATTTAATTTTGGGGCATTTTTTGATCAAAAACAATTAAAATTTGTACTCAAAAATAAGCAAAAGCACCATTTCCTATCTAATTAGAAAATTACTTGGCTTACTTGAACAAAATGTCGCAAATGAAAAGTGCCTTTTTAACTGAAAAAGTCAAAAATAATGTTATTTTCGGCCAAATTTGGTCATTTTTTGCCAAAATTTTGCAAAACTTTAAAGATAAAACAGCTTTTAACTCATAAACATATTAAACGCTTTAAAAGGTGCACTAACTTGATGGTCTTTTGCTTGTGAATAACATTTTTCAAAAAAAAGTAGATTTTTAGGTCACCAAAATAAATCCAATAAAATAGACCAAAATAGAACGGTAATTTGAATCTAGTTTAGTGATTTGGTGGCCTATTTTAGCGAAATTTTGCGAAAAAAAGTTTTTAGCTGAAAAACATGTTTTTACTCTCGAAAAAATGTCAAAAATAGCGTAATAATCGATTCAATTTGGTACTTTTTGGACTTTTTTGAACAAAATTTTATAGTAAAAAGGTTCAAGAATAATTGAAAGGGTAAGTTTTCGTCTGTTTTAACGAAAAAACTCAGTTTATTAGTTCAAAAATGTGCTTAAAAAAGCAAAAATAACACAATTTTTATAAATTTCTGGACCCGTTTGAACAAAATTTTGCAAAAAAATTGCATTTCTGGCTAATGAACTTTCTTAAACGCTTGAGAAAGTAAAAAAAA